TGCTTTTGACAGATGGGTATGTGCCCAGCCAAGGAGAGCAAGAAGATGCTGTGGCACATGGCAATACTGGGAGAGGCAGAGAGCAGCTGAGCTTCAGTCACAGGAGTAAAACACACTCGAGTCAGTTAAGAAAACACTTCCCCAGCCCTGAGCACAACTTACAGGGATGTGCTGCAGGAGGAAAGGCTTAAGTGGCTCGAAGAAGAGGAAGGCAGATGTGGATTGTGGGTTTTTTCCTCTCTGTTTCTGGAGCCCTGGGGAAATGCATCCCCCGAGTTTGTGTGCTTCTCCTCCTGACAGGAGGCAAATCGCCGAGATTAAGCTGTTGCATAAGTGAGTGAGCAGCATGAGTCAGGGGGTTTGGGAAAAGTGAGTCACGGGCTGCAGGGAGGGAACCCAGCCAGGGCCGGAGCGCAGAGAGAGACGGGGGGGAAAATATTAAGGATGTAGATAAGAGCCTGACAGAGGGGAGTGCACAGGGAAGGGAAACGCTGTCCTGAGGAGAGGGAACCATCCACGAGGTTTAGGGAAAGCTAAAAAGCAGGTCAGGCAGAATTTTTGTGCACAACTGGTGGTTGAAATGCAGAGGAGCTGCCAAAGTCAGCAAGGGAAGGACAGAAGTGTGTAAATCACTTCAGGAGGGAGCACGGGCACATTTTTGGAAAATGAGGGAATCACTGGGTATAGCCATTAGTGAGCCTTATGGAATTAGAGCTATGAAATGCCAGTGCATTTGTATTTTGAAGGAATCCAGGAGCAAGTCCTGCTGCCCTCCATGGTCTCACACCAGTGCTGGAGCACCCTGCAACCCCAAAGAGCTGCCTGTGCAGCCCTGCATGGGGGCATGGACACCAAAGCCTTCCCAAAGGAACTTCCCAGGGTAGCCCTGGAAATTGCTGCAGAAGGCAGCATTTATATTAGGATGAGTCCCTGGGGGCTGGTGGCCCTATTTACCACACACAGTTGAGGATCTGATAAAGATTTCTGAAAGAGCAGTGGGGCTTTACTTGAGACACCGTGTCCTTAACTGTAATATTCCTCCTCCTTTCTCCAGTGACTCCTCACTCAATTTAAGGTTTCTATTCAGCAGCAAAGTCATTGCAACTTGACAGAGCCCGTCCCACCCCACCCAGCTGGGCACTGCAAGGTTTGACCCAGCACAAACCTGTGGGAAAAACAGAATGAGGGTCATCTCATTGAAGACTCTCGTGACACTTTAATGGACCTGAATCCAGAGTGTTCTGAGAATTCTGTGCTCTGCAATCCCCCAGGTCCTTGACTCTGGAACTGTCAGTGCAGAATTCTGGATGTAACACTTACAAACAACACACTGGAAGTAAAGTGCTCAATCCTAACACATTTTATAACTATTTTTATAACCAGAGTACAAATAGACCCCATGATAAGTTTGCTTTTCGGTGGCCTAGTGAAAGACTCCAGAATTATCTGAGTACAATTACCACAAAGATCAAGGCACTGAAGGGAACCCAGCTCCATTTCCATGGGATGTGGATCAGGGAAATGTGGATTAGGCTATTCCAGAGGAATTTTACACCTACACAGCCTGTAACTGTCCAGAGAAAAACTGTTTGGGAATAAAAATCTGAGCAACATCTTCCACCAGACTCGGAGATAAAGTATAAGAATTAATCTATATTTCATGGGTTGCATGCATCAATAATCAAACACCACTCAGGCTTTTTAACAATTTAACACAAACTTGCAGCTCTCATTTATCTGTGGTGATTTATCTTTCAAATGCTAGCTGAGATCAGGAAATACAAAGGAAAAAAAGCAAGGGTAACACTAAAAGAGAAGACCACTTTATTACTGGTTACTGATGGAATTTATATGGCTTGCCTGGGTGAACAAAGGTATGTGTAACATCTAGAAATTAAATTTAAACTGAGTTGATGAGCAATGAGTTGAGTGTGTTTTCAGGTGTTTTCTTATCAGGCTTAAGGCAGAAGCTTCAGCTGTGGAATAAGATGCTGAAACACTTATGGAAATGAACTTTATCACAATGACACCAAATTTGGAAAAGAGGATGTGGGGGAAAGATGCTCAAGAATGAGCTTGTAAAAGCCCAATATTTTCTTTCTAGATCTGTTTCTTATAGTGCACTCATCACTGTGGTATCTTGAGTGCTTTCCAGTAGTGCATTAAGCAACATGACAAACATCTGTCACATGTTTGTTCTCTCACCCTCTCCCCAGAGGGACAAGTGTGTGCAGCGGAGAGTCTTGTTTTAATTTTTTTAATTATCATAAACACACATGCACGTAACACATTATTAAACATTCATGCAGGAGAGGAAAGGTCACAGGCATCTTGCTCTCAGGATTCAAGCTGGGGAGCCCTGTGGTGTCCCTGCTAAGAGTTTCTATCACACCCTTGCTCCACACTGCAGAGTCTTGTCAGGGACCAAATCAATGTGCACCAGGCAGGAACCAAATCCGTGGATTCCCAATGCCCTCATTCACTGCTCACACTTCAGCCCAGGGATTTTACCAAGACATCAAATGGAATGAGGTGGTAGAACATAAGGAAAAATAAGTGCTTTGTATAACCACCATCTCATTCCCAGATTGGGGCATTGGACACAGGAATGTTTTGTTAGAAGCAGGAATTGATGCAGCTTCCAGATCACTGTTACAGACTCAGACCTGATAAACCTGAGGATCTAATGGATTGGAAAAGTCTGATTACTGGAAAAATAAGCTCCTACAACAATGAAGACCTGGGAGTTACTGATTTCCCTACAGAGGGGATGTAACTGGGAAAACAAGCTGGAACCATCAGCTCAGAGTTCAGTCAGCCCCTGCCCAAGTGCAGATACACAGAACACCCACGGACACAGCAGGGATCCCAGATCAACACTGCCCAGGGAATCACAGCCCAACAAAAGCCATCCAGCAGCCATTTACTAATGGAAGCACCACTGTGCTGATGCAGAATAACCACAGTGAAGCTCTTCTGAAGCCCACCAAGGATAGTCCACCTACTGACAGACATTTCCCTGGCATGGAGAAGAGGGGCAGGACACGGACACAGAGCACACACCACCCAGGCCAGGATCCTCACGGAACAAGAGGCTTCAGAGAGCTCTAAAGGATTCCTTGGAACAAGTCTCAAGACAAGGTTGTTCTCAGAAACCCAGATCTTTTTGGCCATAACTTCAAACCCTCCAAGAGTTTTCCAAAAGAGGAGGCAGCCAGCAGGCTAAAACTAATTTGGGATAATTGTTCCTCTTTCAAACTGAACTCACCATCAGGAGCAACCAAAGAGCCTGAGTGCACAAGTCAATCTAGTCTGGATTTTTAGCTGGAGCAGCTTATTATTCAATGCATTTTAACTAATCCACCTTAAAAGGGAACTCACGTTGCATTTACTCATATATGAAGCTCCCAAAGATCAAATAAACTCTCTTTGTTCCAGCACACTCTGCACCAAAAAGGACTGGAGCTTCAATAAGTATTGAGCCGTTTTATTTGCAGCTTTTATAGGAATTAGGAGCACATGCAAAGCCCAGTGAGGTCCCTGCAAAGACTTGCCTTGAGCTGCCCCGTGCTTTGGCTCCAGCATTAATGATGTGCCAGGGGGGTAGGAGGCAGCCAGTTGTATTCCCTGGAAATCTTTACACCTGGGAAATGTGCTTTTCGGCTGTCAGGACACAACAGTGAGCTCAGCAAGTCCTGCAGCTTTAGGACTGACACTGGGCAGAAAGGCAAAGCCCAGCCTGACATAAAAGGGCTTTATTTTCCCCGTCAGATAAGGAGAAAATGTATGTAAAATATTTGGACGTTTGGGGAAAGGGCAAACGTTGAGAATTAATTCAAACTGTTGATGGTTTATTTTTTGTTGAATCTTGTGGTCAAAATTGTTTTCATTTGTTATGAGAAAGAATCCATCATTTTTTCCAAAGCACCACCCAGAATCTGCCACTGGTGATGTTCTAACATCCCCAGTGCCTATACAAATAGAGAGGTCAGCTGAGATTTGTAAACTAGAGATCATAAGTTTTAAGGAATTTGTTTATTCAGCCTGGAGTCTCCAAATTGTGTAGGATGCCAAAATTAAAAAGTCATTTCACTGTACTGTGTCATGTTACAATAAAAAGCTCTCCAACATTCTGCATGTTCAGATGAGAAAGCAAGTTGTAATTCATTTGTCAGCACATGCAGTTTAATTATAATTAAGTACCTCCAGCAGTTATAATGAATAGGCAAAATGAAAATGCTGGTTTATGCTTGTATAAACCTGCATTCAGTGTGAACTCAAAGCTGCCTGAATTACTCTGAGAAGCCCTTGCATTTTTAGCTGTGCTGTTCAAACACACGGAAACCGTTTCCAAAGGCTGGAACAGATTGACTGAATTAGGGGAATTTTCATGGGAATGACAAGAGGCAGATCTCTTCCTGATGGGAAGGCCACCACATCCCAAGTTCCAAGTCCCTGTCCAAAGCGTGGAGCACGAGAACCACGCAAGAGAGATCACCAGAGCCTTTTTAGTATCAGCAAAACAACATGTTTCTAACTCATCTCCTCCTTGAGAAAGGGCTGAACTACATCTGCTGAAATTTTCCAGAGTAATTCAACATGAAACATCCAACCACCATGGGGGGGGGGGGGAAAACAACAACAAAGTCAAATTATTAAAATATGATAAAGCTGCAAGAAGTTCACAGAAAGTTTTAGGCCAATAAGTACAAAACATTAATGGTATTTGACAAATAAAAGGATTTGGCTGTTTAAAATAACCACATCTGAAAATATCTACAAATGCAGTCTATCAGAATCCAAAGCTGTCAGAAATTGGGTAACATTTTAAATCCTGCAAATGGAGCAAGTGTTGGGATGACATCCTGGGATACATTGAAACTTTGCTGCCTTCACTTATGGCAAACTCGAAGACGAAGCATTTCGAAGGCTAAATATTGTAATTCATTTAATGACTAATATTGCATTTGCCTTTCTTCTTTTTTTTTGTTTTAATAAAGACATAGATGAATGTGCAACTGGAACCCATAACTGCAGAGCTGACCAAGTGTGTGTCAATCTGAGAGGGTCCTTCAGCTGCCAGTGCCCGGCGGGTTACCAGAAGCGAGGGGACCAGTGTGTTGGTAAGTGCTGCTCTGGATCCCTCTGAGGGGGTTTCTCTCATCATCTAGGGTTGTAAACTCTTGTTGATCATGAAGTGGGTGGGGGTGTGGTGTAAAATAGCTATTCCACTTGGGAATGCCAAGGGATAGTGACCTTAGCACAGTCCTTAACCACTGAAACACGGAGCGAGGAGCTGTTTGAAGCACAATCAACACTTGAACTCCACAAGATGGATTTCCCAGTGTTTCCCACAGTGTTTATTGTTTGTGTTGGGGTGTTGCCTGATGTCCCAAATAGTGCCACAGGCCTGTGATGGCAGCAAACCAAAGCCCATCCTTGCCCTGAGCTCAGCAGCAGAGCTGTAGGAGCAGCACTGCCTCCACCCAAACCTCATCCCTGTGCAGCCTGCCCAGGGCTTGATTTTATGAGTAAATGAAAGAGATGGAAACTCTGAATGCAGGTATATGAGATTTGCAACCTGTAAACCCCCAGGCTTTATCCCCTGTGCCAAAATAAGCCCTTGGCACCCTTGGGACCTGTGCAAGTCCAGCATGAAATTAAACCTGAGCGCAGGGTAAACACGGCATCTTCCCTGTTCCAGCCTCATCTGGGGACCCTGTGCCAAAGTGCCATTGCTCTGCTCCTTCAGCCTTGATTTAACACCTCCTGAATCACAATTTCAGGGCATTCATTGCTCCTACAGGCACTGCAGCCTAGGGTCTGTCACATCATAAAAACAACCATGAACCAAGAGAGTCAAACATGTACATCACAAAATTCAAGACACAACATTGGTTTGGGGTTGGTTTTTTTTTGTCCTCAGCAGAATTTGAGGTTTTCCTCTTCTTGTCTCGGGGATCCTACACTTGAAATGCACAAGAAGTTGTTGATTTTTGGTTTTTAACCTCTTCCCAAAAGGCCATATAGGTAAGAAACTGGGGAGGTTTTAGTACCTACCCATTCTAACTTAAATTCCTGGGCATGGCTCTTTCTTCCAGGTTCCAAGCCAAGGGCTGTAGAAATAAACCCAAAAATTCTTATCTCTTTCCTAAGAAATGTAGATGAGGCCCTGAACTGTCAGACTGGTGTAAACACAGGTGTATCTGATTTTTCCCAGTTCTCTGTGCAGGAGTAGGATGAGGAATTTGGAGGTAGAGGAATTGCTTTGCTTATTTTTTTTAATATCTGGGGTTTATTTAGGTTTTTTTAGAGCAGGTAAATTATATTACTGCCCTGCAACAGCACTTCTAATAACAAGCCCCATGGTCCTGACTGAGAGTCTCACTGGACTCACTTTTATGCATCTAAATCTATACATGAAGATGCCTGGAAAGGGAAATTTCCCTGCTCCTTATTTAGGTCAAGCCCAAGGATAACACCTGTGTTACATATTACACAGTGACCTAAATGAGAAGTACATCCCAACAGTTAGTGCTGTCAGCAATTCAGAATAAAGCCTGTCTTGGGGGATTTTTCTAACAGCTCAGCCAGAAAATGTTCTCGGGGCCAGATCTTGATAGAGGTTCTCCATATGGGAGGAAATGTTTCTCAAATTTGAAAGAAAATTTTTCCAGACTATTTTGGCTTCGAGGTAGAAGGAGGGGAAAAAAAAAAAAGACATTTTTAACAATTGGTTGATTTTAATCTAAATTCACTAATAATTCCTGTCCTTTTTTTTAGATTTTTTTTTTATTTATTTTCTTGTTCACACATGGCCAAATTAGCCTTTTCAGAGAGAATGAATTGTTTGCCAGCATCACTTCAAACAGAGGATTTGGCCCAATGGATTAGATGATGCTCAGCCCTTAGATCTGCACAGAGCTGAGGGGCCCAATCCCACAAGGAAAATTCCCTCTGAACCAGAGCCAGATCCTGGAAGTATTTCTGTGTATAAATGCAGTGCCCAGGCAGCAAAGCATTAATCATACATCTATATTGTATAATGCTTTTATTTCTAAGCAGTAATTTGTAAGAGCTTAGTCCTGTAAAAGTCCAGGATGGCAATCTACAGCGTCTCCTGATTTATTCCATTTCCACTTCCAAATTTCTCCCTCTACCACAAAGGAGTCACAGTGACAATTGTATGGACAGCCAGGAATTTTCCAGCCTAAGCCTTTTCATTCAGAACCATCCAAACCACTCCACTAAAGCTCAGCCCCAAACAGCAACTGCAGATTTGGCAAAGAAAGGGTTCATTTCCAAAGATTATTTTTTTTTTCACTTGATATTAAAACAAACACTTTCCTCATTATTAAAAAAAAAAAAGTCTTGGCCTCTTTTTAAACACATCCATGATGGAAACAGCTGGAGGTAGGAAACTCAAGATCTGGCATGGATATGGGAAGTGCCTTTCTTTGTTCCAGGGAGTGCTGGGATTATTTGTGTGAGTGTTGATCCTTTGAAATCTCCCATTGTGTACATGTTGGGAGCACCACCAAGCTCCAGCAGGCCCAGCTAAGGCACCATAATGGGATAATAAGAGTGTATTCCAGGCAAAACCAGAGGCAGCATCTCCTCCAGAGCGCAGGGAAACCTTTGAAAACACGGAGAGGGAGAGGAAGGGGCTGGTCCAGGTTGGTGTGGTTGGCAGGTGAAAGCCCTGCTCTGATGCACACCAGGAATGCTGAGGCTTGGAAAGGCAGCTGCTCCACCTCAAATCAGGGAGGATCTGGGGAAGGTTCTTACTGCCCAAGATGCACAGCCAGGTGCTGGTACCCGGAGAGGTGTCCAGGACAGGCAGCAATGGCAGCTCCTTGGGGAACGAGGCAGGTTCTGGGGATCCCTGCAAAAGCACCACCTGTTTCCTTCCCAAGCCCATTAATTTTCTCTCCTCGCCGTTCCCCCGGACTCGCACAGAAAATCTGGGCTGTTCCTAATGGAGCTGCAAAGATTTAGTGTGTGCTAGGAGCGCTGCTCATGGGATTTTGGGAATACGAGCTCCAAGCCACTCTCCCTGTGCTGTCGGCATCGTGTCTGATCCTGAGGGAGCCCGGGGGAAAAGCTGAACCAAACGGGGAGTTTTACCTACACTAAATAAACCAGATCAAGCAGTACTGTGGGAGCGAACACAAAAATCAAGTTGAGATGTGCATTGAGCATAAAAAATTCTTATTAAAAAAACATACTTAAAGGAAAAAAAAAAAGAGTATTCCTGTTAATATCCGTAGAAGCAATACCTAGGTTTTTCCAAGTGCAGTTAAGTTTCCTGGGACACAGAGAGCAGCAGGGAAGGGCCGTGGCTGCGTTGGAACTAACCCCTGTTTTTTTGGTGGCACAGACATCGACGAGTGCACGCTGCCCCCCTACTGCCACCACCGCTGCGTCAACACCCCCGGCTCCTACTACTGCCAGTGCAACGCCGGCTTCCAGCTGGCATCCAACAACCACACCTGCGTGGGTAAGGAATGCCCTGCATGGAATCACACCTCGCCTCGCCCAGGGGCACAGATCCCCTCTGCCACGGCTGGCATTGCAGTGTTTTCATCCCAGCTCGAGGGAAATAAAGAGCAACTGGTGACACAGTGTGGCTGCTCCAAAAGGCTCCTCTGCAAGGGATCCAAGGACAGGAGGGAGAGAGAGGAAACTGGAGCCTTATTAAATACCTGATGTTTGGTTGGCAGAGAGGTTTATAATCACTATATTTAATATTCATTCTTCCTTCAGTTTGCATTATCATTGGCTTCCCCAACATCACTGCCAGGTCACACAACAAAGGCTGGAACTGGCAAATCAAGGGAACCAGGACTAAACCTCTGCAGTGAAGTGTAATGATCCTCAGCACACGGGCAGTGTAGTGAGGAAAGAAAGCAGCTGGGTCACATCTGAATAGCTAGAAAAAACAATGTTAAATATTAAAACAAAGGTTGCCAAAAATGGCCTTTCAGTGGTGACCTTCCCCTTAGAAATAAAACTCTAAGAGATGCTTGATACCAAAACTTTAGGACTTGATGTCGAGTTTGAAATCATAGGTTCTGTTCTGGAAGGATTAGAGTAATAATAAAAGGGTAACTGTGTCTGAAGTGCAGAAAGAATGTCCAAAAAAAAAAAATCAAGAGATTAGTGATGGAGATGGTCAGAAGTTCTTTCTGGCTGTAATCTATATTTTTCCCTTCTGGTACCATCTGCATGATGTGCATTCTTTGCACTGTTGCCAGAAATGAACAAAAAAAAAAAGGAAGAAAAAAATCTGTGATGAGTTTTCCCCTATTATGACTCCTTTTCAGGACTAGGATGTTCATCATACAGGGGATTAATATCCTCTTCATCAGTCTAATTTTTCTGGGTGCCCAACGTTTGTCATTTTTCAGTTGTATCTTTAAATTACACTGTTGCTGTCATTTATAAGTCACGAAACTCAGAGGGTTTTTTTCCAAATGAAGCTTCTCCTCGTTATCTGATAAACAAATATGAATGGAAAACATGCAGGGGAGGAATACAAGGGAAAACACAGGGAAATCTATGGAGTGAATGGCAGAGGAGCAGCAGTTAATCAACAGCCTGTGGAAAAACAAGGCTTATAGATCCCAGAGGTGATTAGACTTCTATAAACTTCCCATTAAAAATTGCTTCCCTTCCCATAGCAGCGTCCTCACAAAGTGCTCTGGGGATGGGCAGCACCATGGAAAACAGGCAGGACACAAACATACCTTCCCCCAATATGGGAGCACTGCAAAACCCCACTGGCCTGCAAGGCTCGTGTTATAATTGCAATGGAATCTCAAAGAACCGATTTTCAGGGCAATAAATAGCTCAAATAAATCTTAACCACTGCATGCTGAGAGGTCTTATCAGTATGTGTTCCTTATATCAATTATTTATAGAGACTTGGCATTTCATACCTGAAAAAAAAAAAGGGGGGGGGCTGGAATGTGGACTTTAACAGCCACACTAAACATTTTTGGGAGAATTCATCACGCGTTAGAATAACTCCCATTCCTGGAAAAATGCTCCTTTTTACATGGAATGTAAAGCACAGATCTAACATTGCTGCAGTGATGGCAGATCTCCATGGAGAGAGTCAGCTGAGCTGCTGAGCAGTAGGCCCGGCCTAAGGACTGATGCACTGAGCCTAATTACCACCCCCCCAAGGTAAATATCTGCCTTTTTGCCTTTCAGACATAAATGAATGTGATGCCAATAACCCGTGTGCACAACAGTGTTACAACATCCTGGGTTCTTTCATCTGTCAGTGCAACCCAGGCTTCGAGTTAAGCAGCGACAGAATCAACTGTGAAGGTGAGGGATTCCTTTTTGTGCCTTGGAAGAGCAACTTTTTGCCCTGTTTTTGTTTTCCCAGACGCTTTTCTGTGAACTGAGGGACATAATTTGAGTGGAGCCACCCTGGAGTGGGTGCAGTTTGGAGCCAAAACCTTTAAGACATTTATTTTTAGGGTGCAAATGTGGCTAATTCACACCTGAGTGGCTGCTCTGAGGTACAGAGAGGGGGGGGGGTGTCTCTACAACAAGTGCCAAACAAGACCTGGGAAACAGCTGGGAAGAATAAGGCTCTGGAGCCCTTATTTCCCAAACTCCCTGGAATGGTGTGTGGTCTGATGCTGATGACCACTAAATGAATTGGAAAGGAATGCAAACCAAAAACAAGGGCAATTCTCCGTGCTGTTGGGCTCCTCTGGAAACCAACCCTCCGATTTCTGACGTGAAGGAAGCGACAATTGTGCTTTTGAGGCGCTTTCAGGCCTGTGTACACAAACAGCAAGATGATTATCCAATCAACACTCCCTTTCCTCTGCCAGAGCCTCCACGGGGGTGCTCTAATCCCCTTTTGGACCCGGGTGATCTCACCCTGAAAGCCCCACGTCCTCTCTGCCAGCCTTGGAGCCAGGGAGGTCTCTGGTTTGGGCGCTGCCCTCCCAAACGAGCTGCAAGAGCTCTCCCAGATGCTCCCTGGCCAAGCTGCTTAAGCTAATCCTATTTGAACAGAACAGGGAGCAGCAAGAATGCAGCCTCCAAGGACATCCCTGACCTCCAGCCCAGAGCTGGGCTCAAGCCTCAGAGGTGGTAGGAGGGAGCTCTGCTGTTTCCCGAGCCAATCCCCAAGTTTTGGGAGGTTTAAATGAATTTCCTGTTAATGGCACTCACCGGTAAAATTTTGTTTCGCACCAGAATTCTCTCACCGGGAAATGATGGTTACACAGGGATAAAAAAAGCAGGAGAATGGGACACACTGAATATTATTAGAAGGCAAAAAACCCCTTTTCCTCTTTCCCAAAGAGCTACTCCATTAG